TGCCATATATGACTTATGTCAAAACTAAAAAGTAAAAGCGAGATGAAGGGCTGATAAATGTCTCTTTGTGAACTCGGTTAAATCATAACTGAAAGCAATTTTATGTTACTGTTTAAGATTAGTGTGCCTAGCGTAATAAACACGTAGGACACCTGTCTGTGAAAATGAAAATAAATTATCATTGCTCTGTGCGCTCTTGCAGTGCCCTACAGTATAAAATAAATTAAAATAAATAAATAAATCAGCCGGCTAGGCTTTTCTAAAACTTGATGAAAATTGGTTTAATTTTCAATGATTAAACAGAGAAAATATTGCTACTGATGCTGTGGACATTGATGCAATAGCAAAAAATTCAGTTCATACTAACATTATATAATTGTCTTCCAGGGCAGAAAAGTTGTACTTATTCTTTCCCCTCGGCTTCCTGTTCAGTCATGTGATCCAATACAGTCATGATATTTCGTTTACTGTTATCATAAATAACATCAATTAGGCCATAGCAAGTGGAAATGTCCTTATTTTAATTGTTGTGCACTGCCCTCTAGTGTCCAAACACTAGATTCTAATATTTCAAGTGGAATTACTTTCACATTTTCTTGGGGGTTTGAAAGTGCCATTTTGTGTGTTTTTTTTCTTTTTTTTGTGAAACTAAGAACATATTGAACACATCTCACCTGTTCCTGATCACATATAATGCCATTGTTTGAGTTTAACAGTCGTTTCACAAGCTCATTTATGTGCCATTTCTCGCACTCCATTAGATCTATTTTCTCAATTAATGGACATTAGCTGACTAAACATGGCATTTTGTTTGATTTGATATCCTTTGGTACGGCATCTCATCCGTCAATACTGGTAATTATTGCCAAATTGCAGTCAGCTGGTGGCAACAACAAATTCCAATTCTTTTAAATTATACCTTTACTGAAAATTGCAAAGTTAATTTGACAATAGTAATGGATAGGGTGATCGTCAAAATGTCCTTTTTATGGGTAATTGCTGGTGTTGCATGTACAGAAGGAAACCAACTTTATTTCAGTGTTTTTAGCTGTATACATCATCAGCAGTCACAAAAACATTAAATTCTGCACAATTTTATGAAAAAAAATATATACTGGTAAATAAATTGTAATTGCATTGAATTCATTACATGCTGTATCATTTTGACTAATTTCATATATATATACCTATTTTATGAGATTTCCCAGAAAATCATGAAAACATTGTCACTCATAAAACTAAACAAGTAGGAACTTTAATAATAATATTCAATAGTTACTATTGACAACTTTTGTGCTGTCCATTATGTTTTTTTTTCACTGGTTTTAATTTGTTTTGATTCTCAGATATCCGAGGAAGTCTTCAGAGTTTTACGGAGAATTTCCTGGCTAAGAACGGACACATGGACTATTCACAGTACCGAATGGAATGCAAAGATCCGAGAAACATCAGTGGAGACGAAATCGACGATGACGTCATTGATAACGATATTGAAGATAATGACGACGACATGGCTGATATTGAAGATGAAGATTGAGCCCCTCTGGTCTAAAGCTGTCACCCCAGTGTAAAAATGGTACGCACCATATTGGATTGTGTCATTTGAATACAGGGGTGTCAGATGGAACTTTTAAAACTGGGAACAGATTTGTGTCTTTCTATTTTTGCAGTTTCATATCAAGGTTTTTTTCCCGAAAAAATAATCAGATTTTTTCAAAATGACAAAAAAAAGAAAACAAAAAAAAAATATTGCTTCAGTTTCAGTACTTCATATCAAATCATGTTTCCGGTTGAAAAAAAAAAAGAAAAAAAATGCATCATCACAGCATTGCTACCTCCATAAACTTATTATTGAATAAAGACAGATTGTTTATATAAGAAATTAGGTAATATCAGAAAAATAGCAATTAGATTTTAACATTAAAACTAGTAGATGTGACCTTTCATATGGTCGTTTACTTTTTATTGCAAAAAACAGCTTGTTTTTGTCTTACAATTGTGATATTGCAGACAAGCCCAGCAGGTTGGTTCTCTTTTAAATTTTGGTGAAAACAGATTTTATCTGAAAACTCTATAGCGAGTTTTTTTTTAAAAAAAGAAGAAAAATGTTTGTCACATTTTTAGAAACTGTTAGCCTACACATGTTATTCATTTGAGAGAATAAGATTTGTTTTTTCTTGATCTCAGAACAAACTAGTTTTATTTACCTTTAAGTGAATTTGTTTTGATATTAAATTGAGTGTTTTGGAACAGTTATTTCCAGTTTTATTGTTTCTCGCTACATTAACTGGGGGGTTTGACGTTATAGTCAGGTTGTCATTTCTGTTCTGCCTTATTTAAACTGATACCCATTCACTTGCTGAGCCTTGTTGATAGATTTGCATATATGAATATTCATCACCTATAATTTGCATCTCACCCCTGATTTGATAGATTGGATGTGCAAACATGACATGAATATTCATCACCTATAATTTGCATATCACTCCTGATTTGATAGATTGTGTGCAAACATGACATTATGAATATTCATCACCTATAATTTGTATATCACACCTGATTGGCTACATCAGGTGTGCAAACATGACATATTATGAATATTCATTAACTTTTACAGCCATCTCGCATCAAAGTTTAAAAAAATCAAAAAAGTTGTTAAATAAAGGAAATCAAAATTGACTTGACAGTATTTTGATAAGACTAGACTGATACAAATCAGCTTCACAAAACTTTTTTTATTGAAGATTATAAAGAATAAAAATATGGAGACATGTTTTGCTGACAATACGAACAAATTGACTGCCCATAAATGGGTTGGGTGGGGTGGGGTGGGGTGGGGTGTTTGCTTCATTTATAGGAATGCTTTGACTGTATTTTTTGTTATTTCTTGGGGGGAGGTATTCATTCAACAACTGCCATTCCCACTCTTAGTTGGATTCTAATTAGTGTTATAGCTTGTCGTTGCTCTATGCAGATATCTGCAAAATGGCAACGTCTGGTGACATATTATAGTGACTTGTTTGGGTTTATTTTCGTTAAAAAACAGGTCCAGAGTTAGTGACCAATTTGTATTCTTATTTAAGAGTGAAACCGAACATTATTCGGAACATTATTTGTGATGGTTAATTCTCCACATCCATCGGCTTTCATAGATCAGAACAATTTTTTTTTATCAGACCTTCAATATCTGATTCATGGTGTATAGAAGGAACTTTTTCTAGTCTTGTAATAAATACACCCCTACCAGATGTAATAGTTTGACCCATTTATAATGGGAAGGTTTTATATGATTGAGAATGTGGGGAAGTAAGGTTATTAAAGTGGGGGGGGGGGAATTAATTTTTTTTATTGCATGTAACAATTTTATTTTTAACTGCCGTGTATTGTATTACTACAATGAATGACTCAACTTTGAGGATCCAGCAACTGGAAGTTCAAAAACTGAGGGGGAAAGAAATCAAAGCATGTTGTCATTATAGTATATTTATATTATTTTATTATCAAAAGCACTCAGGTCAGTCCATTGTGATAATAGTCTAAGCATTCCCAGAATCCTTAACATTTTGAAATCCCACAATTCATTGCAGTGATTTATTATGGGATGGATAGTCTTTCAATGTAATGTGTGTGTGTTAGCTGACACACTGCTCCACTGGAGTTGTATTGTCTTTATAGCAAGTGAACTTTTGACTTTATTTTTGCATATACAACTATTTGTTTGCTTTTTATTCCAGTTTTCACTGTACAAATTATTTTGTTTCCTCCCTCAGTAGTTTAGAATACTTAGCGATCAATAAAGCATTGACCAATGAGTATACATGGGAATATAAAATTGTTTTTTTTTCCAAATGTTCCCTTTAACCCAAGTATTAACATTATAAAGAATCTACAACAAACCATTGTCCTATTTCAGTGGATTTTAATTTAAACCAGTCACTAAATAAAGATATACTTTGTAAATAATTAAACTGTCTTTTTTCTTGGAGAGTGTGTTTGAACATGATATTTTCGTCAGCCAATGAATGTACTAGTACAATGAGTAATATTTGAGGGAGTACAGAATGATAAACATCAGACAGATGGAAGGTTTTCTTTGAACTACAATTCATTAATAAGTACATGTGTTGTATTTGTACATGAATTGACATATGACCACTTGTTTAACACGCGCGTTTGAAATGAAGCACACAATAAGAGTTTTTCTGGCAACCCTGTCTGTGTGTTCCAACATTGAGCATAAATTTTGAATCTTTTTTTTTATTAACTGTATCATTGTTTGCACAGCTGAACAGAAAATAAAACTCTAATTACCCTTATAAAATGGAATGCATTCCTATGAAATAATGTCATTGGAAATGCACAGTGACATTTTTCTTCACATTTCTTGACCGGAAACAGAACAGTTGGTTGATTTTTATGATTTTTCAGTCTATGTTGAGGGTACATAACAACTTACACAGGTATAAACCCAACATTTAGACTACTCTTGCGTTTGTGAGCAATGGCAACAACAATCACAAAAATTGTGATTAATGCATGAATCATGGTACCATAGATGCTTTAGACAAATCAATTTGTGATTAGTAATGGTTAGAGATATGGCT